GGCAGTGGAACGCAGGCCCACCATGTGCCGCCCGTGGATGCCGCGGGCCGGCCGGCCGAGCTGGCCGCGCCACTCTCGGGGCGCGATCCGTCCTCCTGAGCGGCTCGCTCCCCCCGCTCCCTCTTTCGGCCGCCTCCTTTGCTTCTCCCCGTTCTCCTGCACGGCGGCACGCTTCGCCGCAACGGCATCCCCCTTCTAGCTCCGTCCGCTGGCGCAGACAGCCCCTGCTTCGCCGCCGACGCAAAGGTGTGTGCCGTCCGTAGGGGTCTTCTGGTTGGTCCGAGGCGATCGGACAGCCTGCCACTTACAGCCAAGTCGTTGAAATAAGGAACAGTTTGGGTAAGAAAAGGGGCTCGATATTCCTGAGGTCCTATTGGTTTCCCTCTAGCCTTCCTCGTGCACGCAGGCGCTCGTAGGTCCAAACAGGGGCTTCATTCCTTCCTTATCGTTCCTTCTCTCAGCAGCCCGAGTGTAGGCGGGGATCACGTGAGGGGGGGGTGGCTCCCATGGGGGGGGGGGCGAGCCGGACCCAAACCGCCCACGTCCGTCGCCGACAGGGCCCCCGCAGCCCAGCCCGCCATCGGGGGCCTCTCGCCCATCAACCGGCGACGTGCTGCGGATTCGAGCTCGACGCCTTTTCCCCCTCGAGCCAGTCCCGCCCCCAAACTGCTTCCCCCTCAGTGCCTCGGGGGTGGGCGGACGGCTCTGGGGCCCTGGCCGTTCTCCGAGGGTTGTCTCGTGTATAGCGCTGGGGCTTCCCGTGCCCCCGAGGCCCCAGCTGGTGTCGGGCCGCCCGTGGGGATTTTTTTTTACCCGGCGGCGCCCGCGAGGAGGTGGCGCCAGGGGCTGGGGGCGTCGAAGGCCGCGGGGGGCTTCTGAGAAGGCATCGGGCCGCCCCCCCTTTCTAAGGGGGCAGCTTGAGGAGGCATGGGCTTCTTGGAAGGCATGGGCTTCTGAGACGGCGTGGGCCTGGTGGCTTCTGAGGAGGTTCCCTGTCCGAGAAGCCTCCAAGGAACCGCCAGTCTGCCTTTCTGGAGGCACCCTCGGGGGCTCCTCGCGCCAGCCCCCCCGGTTGGCGGCGCCGCCAACGTTTCAGGGTTCGAGGGCATCCGACAGCCTGTCGCTGGAGCGACCTGGAATGACGTCTGTCCTGGACTCCGCGCGCGTGGACTGGAAGGTGCGTGCTGCCAGCGCGACCCTCTGCGGGGCCTCTGGGGCACGTGGCTGTGGAGGTGGGGCAGCGCTGCGGCGCGCCGTCCCTGCCGCCCGCGCGGCACCGTGCCTGCGGCCGCCTCCCGCCAGACACCGGAGGCAGACCGATCTGCGCACGAGGGCCGAGGGGAGCCAGCGCCGAGGGGTTAAAACGACGCGAAGATCGGGACAAAATCGGATCGGGATAACTCGAAATGTCCGAGGATCGGCGGGTTCGGAGGATGTCTTGGGCGCCGCGGCCGCTCCAGAGCGTTCCGGAACACTCCGAGAGCGCTCCGGAACGCTCTGGAGCGATGCATCCCGATACTGGCCCTGTTTTGGGGGTGCCGCCTGCGCCGTCGCCGTCGCCCGAGGCCCGAAGTGCCCCCGGGCGCCCGCGCCGAGCAGAGAGAGCGCCCTCCTCCGCGCGGGTGTTGCCGCGCGGGCGGCCCGCGCAGAGAGCGCCGCCGAGCACGGCCTCGCCGCGCCCGCCCTCGCGGGCAGGGGCGGGGGGGGGGGGGCGGCGAGGGAGAGAGGGGGAGGCCCGAGGCCCGTGGGAGGGGAGGGCCACCTCCTCCTCCTCCTCCTCCTCCTCCTCCTCCTCCTCCTCCTCCTCCTCCCTCTCCTCCTCCCTCTCCTCCTCCCTCGTTCGTAGAGGTTCGGGCGCCCGGTGCCAAGCGCGGTGTGTTAAAGAATTGGAGCGTTCAGAACGAAAGGAGTTTTGATCATATTGCTCGCAGCAGTCAACAAGTCATGGGATATTGGTGGATCAGCATCGTTGGAATTGTCCCCGTCCCCATCTTAGCTGCAAGGCTTCGGGGGACCCTTGAGATGCCTAATCTTACGTTTCGTGAATCCGAGTTTGTTGCACGTTCGTTCTATGCTCGTACTTGCTCCAGAGGCTTTCGCCATCCCGCCGACCTCCAGATCAAGTGAAGAGTGTAAACGCGAGCGTGTGATCGTGAAAGGGGAAGACCTGATGTGACGATGCAGAAGTCTCAAGGGGCCCTGGGACACACAAATATATACACAAATAACAGGATTCCCAATATTTTCCGATGTTTTCGTCTTTTTTTGTCTTCCCCCCCACTTCCTATGTTTTCCCATATTTTCTCGGGAATCGAGGATTCATTGTGTCTGTGTGTGTTTTCCCCCTCCTGAAAGTCCACGAGTGAGGCTCTGCGGGCGCCTTGGCGGCCACCGTGCAGCCTCGCCAGGCTTTCCCGCGGGTGCCCGCCGGCCCTCTCCCGGGCGCCGTCGCGCGCCCGGGATGCCCTCCACACGTGTGCCCGGCTGCGCGGGGGGAGCGGCCGCCGCGCAGTCTCCGCCGCGCGCATTTCAGGAGGGGAAACACACACAGACACACCATGAATCGTCGATGTCCAGGAACATATGGGGACCTATGGGAGGGGGGGGGGGGAAGACGAAAAACCAGAGAATATTGAAGCAATCCTTCTCCTTCCATTTGTGTGGGGATCGGTTGGTTCTGCTCTGGACACACTTCTCGAGCCTCCTGGAGCTTGACGGGGGACATCTCGGGGGCCTGCCGGCGGCCCAGGCGGCGGCCCCTCGGAGCTCCGTCGGGGCCCCCGGGGGGAGCTCGGGGGATCCTCCTCCTCCTCCTCCTCCTCCACCTCCACCTCCTCCTCCTCCTCCTCCTCCTCCTCCATCTTTTTTGGGGGGGGGGGGGGCCTCTGGGAGCCAGGTCGCGGGCGCCCAAACGGTGTGCAGTGGCCACACCGTGCGGTGCGCCAAGTGGGACTTCGGGCTCACCGCCCGGTTTTGGGGCGCGAGGCATCCTCCGAGGAGATGCAGCGGGCGACGGGGGCCTCCAGGGAGGGTCCCGAGACCGCGCGGCGACGGGCCGTGCCTTTGACAGGTCTTGGGGGATCTCGAAGTCACCGCACGGTCGGAGGAGGAGGAGGAGGAGGAGGAGGAGGAGGAGGAGGAGGAGGAGGAGGAGGAGGAGGAGGAGGAGAGGGGAAGAGGAGGAGGAGGAGGAGGAGGAGGAGGAGGAGGAGGCGGAGGAGGAGGAGGAGGAGGAGGAGGAGGAGGTGGGGGTCTTGGGGACCATCGTCTGGGGGAGGGCTCCCAGGGCCTCTGCCCCCTCTCTTCTTGTTTCGTGGGCCGTCTCGGGGGCCTCTTGGGTTAGGCCGGGCATGTCCCCCTGCCGAGGGAGTTGGGGCGAAAAAGCAGAAATACCCCCAAACATGTTCAAACGTAAGCAGACAATGCTGGAGAAATCGTCCCAGGCTTATTATTTGACTCTTTTCGAAGATTCCTCCTGTAGAGGGACAGCTCACCGATGGGGTTCCGTTCCAGTTCCGTTCCAGTGTTCTTCCTATTTCGGCCCGTTTGATTCCAGTCTCGTCTCAGTTCCGTTCCGGTCTCATTTCTATTACGTTCCAGTTTCGTTCTTCGTTCCAGACCCGTTCCAGTCTCATTCCAGTGTCGTTCCGATGTCCTATCCGTTTCTGTTCCAATCTGCCCTGTAGCGAAAAATTGGATCGACAATCACGAGCGCGTGCGCGATTGGATGGCCCCGTGGCCTTGCACCTGACACACCGGGCCACGGCATCTCAGCCCCACCATCCCGCAACCCCAGAGTTAGGGGCAGGCCCATGGAAATCAGTCAGGAGGAAAAGAAGCACACAGACGCAATTGATCCTCGATGCCCCAGAAAATATGGGAAGATATGGGGAGTGGGGGGGAAGACAGGAACCCAGAAAACATGGGAAAATATGGGGCATCTTTTTATTTGTGTGTATTTATTTGTGTGTCCTGGGGGCCCCTTCAATCAGCACGGAACAGCCTTCTATCGCTTCTATCGCCATCCAGGTGAACGTTTTCTTATTCACTGTTTCGCCGACCGGCGCAAGCCTTCGCACCCCCCCACCCCCCCCCCCGTGGAGTAGGTCTTGCCTGGTTTTGGGCGACCGTTTCCAGCAGGTGGAGCTTCCCCCGCGGGACGTAGTGGTGCAAACGGTCGCACTGAGCAGGGGTCCAGAGTCAGACCCCCCCCCTCCCCCCCCTTCAACCCGATGTCGAAACGCCAAATGAGAAAACGTTCACCATCCGGGGGGGGGGGTGGGGGGGGGGGGGGACTCGGCCAATGGGGCCCAGGCCACGCCAGTGGTGCGAGGGATCGGCGAAACGTTGATCATGGGCCCTGGCCCTCCACCTTTTCACACCTTCGGACCAGGCACGTGGCTGATTCCGAGACTTTCTCGGGTGGCACTGCACCAACATCGATGTGAGGAGCTCCGCGCAGATTTCTTGGATCAGCGCCGGGTCGACCTGACCGGGCCTCCGGCGCCGCCCTCCGGCGCCTCGCGTACCGGGGGAAGGGTGTCCAGGGCGGAGGAGGAGGAGGAGGAGGAGGAGGAGGAGGAGGAGGGGGAGGAGGAGGAGGAGGAGGAGGAGGAGGAGGAGGAGGAGGAGGAGGAGGAGGAGGAGGAGGAGGAGGCGGAGGCGGAGGCGGAGGCGGAGGAGGAGGAGGAGGAGGAGGCGGAGGCACCCGCGCGGCGTTCCGAGCGTGAATGTCTGTGCCACGCGTCGGCCCCTCGACGCCACATGGGCCCCCTGCTGGTCGGAGGGTGTGGAAGCTGGGGGGGCCCCCGCCAGGGGGGCCGCCCCCCCGAACCTGGCATCGCTCGGACGTGTGCATGTCTTTCTCGGCGAGGACCCTCGAGGACCATCCTGGGTCCTCGAGCAAAACAAAAAAAAGCACGCGCGACACCGGAAGAAAAGTGCACGGGAAGCGGACGCCCGAGCGATGGCGAGCCAGGGGGGCGCCCCCCCCCCTGAAGGGCAACGGCCTCTACGGCTTCTTCGAGCTCCGCGAGGCGGAGACCACGGAGGCGGCCCTCGCGGCCTGCGCCCGCGGCGCCGTCGTGCTCAAGGACCCCCCCCGCCCGGGGGGCTGGCGGCGAGCCGATGGTCAGGAGGGGAAAAAACACAGAGACGCAATTGATCCTCGATGCCCCAGAAAATATGGGAAGATATGGGAAGTGGGGGGGAAGACAAAAACCCAGAAAATATGGGGAATAGTTTGATTTGTGTGTATTTGTTTGTGTGTCCCAGGGCCCCTTCAGATGGTTCCGCCGCGGTCCCTCCCCGGACCTCCGACGATAGTGCGGGGCCCTCCTCTAGGCCTCCCAGATGGGGGTCGGAGCAGAGTCGGGGGCCCCCAAACGGCGTGATGGCCACGCCGTGCGGTGAACCGGTGGGGATTCGGGGTCACCGCACGGTTTTGGGGCTCGGGCCGTTCTCCGAGGACGTCTCGGGGGACAGGGGCCTCCGGGGTCCCAAGACCGTGCGGTGACGGACCGTGCGGTGAGGTCTTGGGGGATTTGGAGGTCACCGCACGGTCTGTCACCGCACCGTTTCGGGACTCCCAATCTAGGCCTCCCAGATGGGGTCGGAGTAGAGGGGGTCGGGGGATCGCGCCGCATCGCCGATGCATCGCCGATGCCGCTCGGTGTGCAGCCCGATTTGCGTCACGTCGACGTCGCCGATTTGCGTCGACGTCGACTCCGACCCCATCTACTCCGACCCCATCTAGGATCCAGGAGGCCTCTACCTCCACGGGCCCTCTCGGACCGTCCGAGAGACTCGGGATGAAGAGCAGGTCTTGGGGAAGAGCCAAAGGTATCCAGGGCCCGCGTTTTCTCAGGATCCCGCTTCATCGTGCTCATCCAGTGCGTGGGCCGGCGGCAGTCGGGGCTCAAGAGACGGGGGTCAATGTAATTGTGGGTCCGTCAGGGCGCCGGATCTTGCAGGATCCTGCAGAGCCAGGGTGCGTTGACCCGGGGTTGGGTGCATGATCCTGCAGGATCTTGCAAAGCCCGACTGACCCCGGTTTGGATTGACCCGGGTCAGTAGATCCCCGATTGGGATCGGCGCGGGAACAGGAACACAAATTCGAAATTTTGTCTTTAGAGTGCGCTAGCGTCGATTAGCGTCTGATGATCCATGAGAGGCTGTTTTTGTATCCTCCCAAGGGAATGCACATGTTACCCCCTTTTTGTCTCTCTCCCCCCCCCGATACGGTAACGCCCCAGCCCGGTCCAGTGCGCGATCCCGGGCAGCCTAGGGCCTGTGGTGCACGCGGGCGCATGATGGTGTACGCAGGCACTGCGGTGTACACCAGCTCTGTGGCGCACACATCTGTCGTTGCAGCAGCAGCTGTGGTGTACACAGGCATAGTGGGTGTACTGAGGCATTTTGGTGTACACATCACAAGCCGTGTTAGTTTACACAGGCGCTGTGATGTGCACAACCGTTGTAGTGCGCAAAGTCGCTATGATGTAAGCGTGCATGGTGGGCTATGATGTACCCACGCATCTCTTCCTGCTTCCTCCTCCTCCCTCTTTATCCGTAAGGGCTTCGCCCCCTGCCGCCGGCCCCCTCTCTCGGAGAATGGGCCATGGAAGAGCTAAGTCATGAGGCCTTGGCGCTGTTGTGAAGCAGTATCGAAACTTCATGCGAAGCCGATTCGCAATCAGCAAAACCAACTGATCACAGGAGGGGTTACCACACCTGGCGATTGGTAAGACGTGTATGGTGTACGGGCTTAGTTACCACACCTTGCGATTCAAGGGCCGAGGGAGTTCTCGCAGTTTGGGTTACCACGCCTTGCGATGGATGTGCGTGAAGGGTGGCACCGAATTTCAGAAATGTGCCAAATCCCCTGTGTTTTTGGACCCTGACCCCGCGGATCTGCGTAAGGGGTGGCACCGAATTTCAGAAAGGTGGCAAATCCCTGTGTTTTTGGACCCTGACCCCGCGGATCTGCGTGAGGGGTGGCACCGAATTTCAGAAATGTTGCAAATCTCTTGTGTTTTTGGACCCTGACCCCGCGGATTTGCGTGAGGGGTGGCACCGAATTTCAGACATGTGGCAAATCTCTTGTGTTTTTGGACCCTGACCCCGCGGATCTGCGTGAGGGGTGGCACCGAATTTAGACATGTGGCAAATCCCCTCTGTGTTTGGACCCTGACCCCGCGGATCTGCGTGAGGGGTGGCACCGAATTTCCGAAATGTGGCAAATCCCTTGTGTTTTTGGACCCTGACCCCGCGGATCTGCGTGAGGGGTGGCACCGAATTTCAGAAATGTGGCAAATCCCTTGTTTTTGGACCCTGACCCCGCGGATCTGCGTGAGGGGTGGCACCGAATTGCAGAAATGTGGCAAATCCCATGTGTTTTTGGACCCTGACCCCGCGGATCTGCGTGAGGGGTGTCGATTTCGAGCCCCCCCAGCAATTCAGACAACGCGCCCAGGTGAGGCTAAAAATCCTGTTTGGGCCTCCCCCCCCTCGCGCGGTCAATCAACTAGTTACAGTAATCAGCAAGAAGTCAACTAGTTACAGTGACCAGCAAGAAGCAGAACTGTAACACTGGAAACTACAAGCTACAACTGGTACAGGAAACTGCGAATCACGTGCCTGCCCCACAAGGGGGCCGGCGGATTTTTGTCCTCGTCGTCGTCCTCCTTGCGCATACAGGACGCGGGCATTGTGGTGTACACAAGCATCCCGGTGCACACAGGTGTTGTGTTTCACATTCGTTGTGGGCTCAGGATGTCCGAGCGTTCCTCGGGCCAGAAGAACCAGTGATCACAAAACAGATCACATATTGAATATGATACATTCGGGCCCCCTTTGGTACCCAGGAATTTGTCCCCGTCGAGGCCGTGGAGGTGTACATGCAGTTAGATGATGGCGTGCATCTTGGCAGTGCTCTTGGAACAAGGGCGCGGGCCCCGAGCTGTCGACCCCATCGTGGGGTTCTGTTTGTTCGTCCTGCTCCTGCTGGTGCTGGTGTTCCTCTGGCTTTTCTGCCTGTATTCCCTCGGCTGGCGCCGCTCCGCGCGCCCCCAAGCCGCGCTGGTACCTTCAGGCGTACGCAAGCTTAGTGCTGTACGCAGGCATTGTGGTGCACAGGGGTGCTGAGGCAGCAGCTGTGGTGCACACGTGCGCCGTGGTGTACACAAACAGTGTGATGCACAAAGGCGTTGTGGCGCACACGCATACCATTTTTGCATAGGTTCTGGTGCACAAAGGCGCTGTGGGCACAGGCGTCGTTTGCTTGGACGACGACGACGACGACGATGTAGGCGGCGCGCCTCGGGAGGTGCGCGCCGCGGCCCCTTTTGCCGCTACCCCCCCAGCCCCCCCCCCCCCTCCCGAGGTTACATGTGTTATCCCCCAGGTATAATAAACACATGTTTTCGAGGAAGCCCCGATGTGGCATTGATAAGCGTCGATTTCGCGTAGAATTCGCGTCGTTGAGCGTCGATTTGCGTCACTTGCGTCGATTCGCATCGGCTGGCGTCGGTTGGCGTCGGTTTGCAAGAACCAGCAACATGGCATCGGAGGCCCCCGCGAGTTGACACCGAAGCGGGGGGCGCTACGGGGATACGCGGTTGTTTCTCGATATCGGCCCCCTTGGACCGGTACCGCGGCCCAGAACCATGAACAATGGAACCAGGACGACAACCATCCCCGAGGATTGGGATGGTGATGGTGGTGGTGGTGATGGTGTTGTTGTTGATGATGCTGCTGATGATTATGATGGTGATGATGGTGACGTTATTAGTGATTATGATGGTAGTGATGACGATGGCCATGATTATGAGTATGATGAGGATGTTCTTGGTACTCATGATAGTGGTGATGATGGTGATGATGATGATCGGGGTAGGGATGGCGATGGCGATGGCGACTGCGATGATGGTGATGATGGTGTTGGTGATGATTATGGATCTGATAATGCTTATGCTGATTGTGCTGGTGGTGATGATGCTGATGGCGATGATGTTGGTGTTGGTGGTGGTGATGACGATGATGGTGCTTGTGATGGTGATGGTGGTGGTTGTGATGATGATGATCATGCCGATGATCAGGATGATGATTCTGCTGATCATTGTAGTGTATGGGGGTGTCGATGGCGACTGTGATGGTGATGATGATGGTGATGATGCTGATGCTGATGATGCTGATGACGATGAGTAGGAGTATGATGTTCATGAGGATGGGGATGGCAATTGCGTTTGCGAGGATGATGAGAGTTCTGATGACGGTGACGATGATGAGGAGGAGGAGGATGGTGGTGATGGTGATGACAATGATGATGTTGGTGATGAGGAGGATGCTGGTGATGATGATGGGTGGTGGTTGATGATGGTGGTAGCTGTTCTCTATCGCTTCGGCTTCGCCGCCGCCGCGGGCAGCAGGACGAGCACGGCCACACGTGGCACATCCGCGCCAGCCGCAGCGAGCGTGCCACCGTCGGCAGCGGCGACGCCGGCTCCCGGCGGCGGCACCGCGGCAGGAGCTCGCTTACCAGAAAGGAACATTATCTTCCTGCTCTTCCTCCTCCTCGTCGTCCTCGTCCTCCTCCTCCTCCTTCTTGTCCTCCTCCTCATCCTTTTCCTCCTTTTCCTCCTCGTCTCTCTCCTCCTTCTTGGCCGTCTCCTCCTGGCCTTGTCAGGGTGTCCTTCCCTGCTTGCCGCCCCGTCCCTATGATTGGCATCATCCGATCTCGATACCAATTCTAAGGATGCCCTCGTGTTCTGAGGGCTTGTCACTCCCAGGGATAGGGATCAGATCGGGGCCGATTACTCGTAGCTCTCGCAGGTCTCGTTTCGGTGCCTGCCACTCGGCTCGATTCGATTTCGATCGAGTCCGATTCCGATCCGATCCGAGTTCGGATTCCGATTTGGATCCGGGGTTTTCCATGGAGGTCTTATTAGCTTGCCGATGCTTGCCGATTCGCTCTCTCCCTTCTTGGTGACCGATTTCCACTGATCCGATTCATTCCGATTGCCGTTCCGGCTTGTCGACTTGATTATGGGGTCTTTTGTCTTCGCAGTCGTGACCTTCGTCGATTCGTCGCCGTCGTTCGTTCGGCGTTGGCATCGCCGTCGTCGGCACCATTCTCCGTCGTCGTCATCTGCGTTCGTTCGTCGTCGTCTGTCGTCGCCATCGTCCGACGATGTCGTGACTGCCCTCGTTCGTTCGTCGCCCCGCGTGCGGTGTCGCCGCCGTGCGATGTCGGCGCCGCCGCTGCGAGGTGAAGGGAGTGGAGGGAAGGCCGTGGCGGCCAATGCTCAGGAGGGAAAGAAACACACAGACACAATTAATCGTGGATTTCCCAGAAAATATGGGAAAATATGGGAAGTGGGAGGGAAGACAAAAACCCAGAAAATATGGGAAAATATGGGGGATATTTTCATTTGTGTGTATTTATTTGTGTGTCCCAGTTCCCCTTCAAATGCACCCTTCAGAACCGCCAGATCTCGGAGATCCCTTACCCGTGCCGCGCCGAGCGCTGCCCCGATTCGCTGCTGTGGCCCCGTGCCGTCCAGCCGTCGATGCCCGGGCAGACATTGTGCATTTCTGCTCGGCGAGGCCGGCGCCAGAGAAGGTCTGGACCACGCCTTAGATCAGGAGGGGAAGAAACACACAGACACAATGAATCGTCGATTCCCAGGAAAATATGGGAAGTGGGGGGAAGACAAAAACCCTGAAAATATGAGAAAATATGGGGAATCATTTTATTTGTGTGTATTTATTTGTGTGTCCTGGGGCCCCTTCATTAGAGGAGAGAGCAACCCCGAAGATGAGAACGGCACGCGCGAAGCCGGGCAGCGAGCGGGGAACGGTATCTGTCTTCTGTGTGTGTGTCTCGTTTCCCCGTTCGGCGCGGGCCCCGGTGCCCCCGCCCTCCCCCCAGGGACCAGATCTTGGCCGCCTTGGGCGACTGCTGCTGGCGACGGGCCAGGACTGCGTGCAGCTCATCGATGAGGCTTCTGGAGGCCACGGCCTACCCACCAGGTCCTGGGTCGGCCCAGACATCTGTCCGCACTGGTGGCTCGCTTCGCTTCGCTTCGCTTCGCTTCTGGCGACAGGCCAGGACCACCCTCACCCCCGGCCTGCTCTTGCGCGACTGGCCGACGCAGATCGCTGGAGCACCGGCCCAGAACCAGACCCAGGAGGGGAAAACCACACAGACACAATGAATCGTCGATTCCTTAGGAAATATAGGAAAATATGGGCAGTGGGGGGAAGACAAAAAACCCAAAAATATAGGATAAGATGGGTAATCTTTTCATTTGTGTGTATTTATTCCCTACCTAGGCTCTGCCTAGAAGGGTTCTTACTGTGTTAGCTTAAAGGGACCGGGCAGTGGAAGTCGCCCCGGGCGGTTCCCCCAGTATCCGCCCCGCGGTTCCCCCAGTGAAGGCCCTTAGCTTAGCGTCGCTTATCTCATCTTAGCTTAGCCTAGCTTAACTTAGCTTAGCTTAGCTTAGCTTAGCCTAGCCTAGCTTAGCTTAGCTTAGCTTAGTTTAGCTTAGCTTAGCTTAGCTTAACCTAGCCTAGTCTAGCCTATCTTAGCTTAGCT